GAGCTGTTTTTTTTTTTTAACTCTGCATATTTTTATCGTTTTTAAATCCTTGTTTTTACTCATTCTTGTTTTTACACATTCCTTAGGCCAGTCTTGTTTATACTGGACCCTATCTGGATGTTTTCTTTTCTCCTTCTTAACAGATTTAGCTTTAGTTTATTCATTGATTAATTCCCGCTTGTACCCGTGCTAAATTCCACTTCATAGGAAACATTTTAGTTTTAGTTTTATTCCATTTTTATTTTTATTAGGTTTATTTTTTTTTTCTAAGAGTAGCTTTGCTTGCTACAGTCTTCCTTTTTATTTTTTTGTATTTTTTACACTGGATTAAAATATGATTCTCACAAGGAAAGCCTGCAGAAAATTGGGAATCCTCTCCCCACCTGTGTTTGACTTACCTTCGAGAAGGAAGCAGACAGTACAGTCAAAAATGCCAACTTTTTTTCCTTCTATGGTCAACTACAGCAAACCCAGTGAGTTCGATGAATGCTTGTCTTCTGCCGATCAAAATCCACTTAACTGGTCAATAAAATCCCCTTGGAGAAAGTTGGAAACTTTTGCTCCTAACGAAGGGCCTTTGCAGACTGCCAGAAATAGTGCACTTTAAATTGAGGCACTGCCCTGGCTCAGTGCTAGGGAATCATGAGAATTGTATTTTTTTCTGAGACATTGAGCCTTCTCTGTTAGAGAGCTCTGGTGCCACAATAAATTACAGTTCCCATGATTCTCTAACACTGAGCCAGGGTAGTGCCTCAATTTAATGTGCACTATTTCTGGCAGTCTGCAAAGGCCTGAAGTCCTTGTACCCTCAACAGATTTAGCAACTGAAATAGCAGAAGCTGAAGGCTTGACAGGATCAAACCAATATTTGCTATTTAACAGTGAGGAGGAGCCTGTGAGTGTTTGCAAACAAATAGAACATTTTGCCTCTGGGCAAAGTTAAATTCAGCTGATCTGCCTCCTAAAATCAAACCACCACACTTAGCAGGCATGGAAGATCATCTAGATTTATCGGTAGACCTTTCTGAAAAACAGAGCAAAGAACTGAATTAAATCAAGATTTTTTTGTCTGAATGCCATGCATTGTTGACTATTCTGGTAGAATTTAATAGAGCAAATGACCAGGCTCTTAGTACAATTGTATCTAAAACACCTGTGAGAAAGGTGTGATCACAGAACAATTTAAATCTAAATTAAAAAAGAAATTACAAAGCAGAATGAAATTGAGCTACAGAAACAAACTTCAGAAGAAGCCGCATAGAACAACAAAGCCTTCAGATCAAAGAAACATCACAAAACACATCAGAGATGCTGTAAATGTACAAAAGAAAATCCTTCGCCACCTCCTTCTCCTAACCACCTTACAACTTCAGGTAACTTAGGGCTTTTACAGACTGCCAGTGCAACTTGAGGCCACTTTAACTGTCCTGGCTCAGTGCTAAGGAATCATGGGAACTGTAGTTTATTGTGGCACCAGAGCTCTCTGACAGAGAAGGCTCAGTGTCTCAGAAAAAAATACAATTCCCATGATTCCCTAGCACTGAGCCAGGACAATTAAAGTGGCCTTAAGTTTCACTATTTCTGGTAGTCTGTAAAAGCCCTTAGAAATTCACCTGCCTGACAATCCTTCCAATGGGTTATTATGTCCTCTAAAGGAAATACAGGACCCATGGCAATATGTGTGTGCCCAGAGCTGCACACAAGACTTCAAGCAATGTAGATTTGTTTATAATGATATTAAATAATCCTTATCTTCTTGGAATTTGGTTTTGGATCGCTCAAAGATGTTTTCTAATTTTCCAAAGCCAAGAGGCTTGCTATCTCAGTACCAATGTAAAGCCCATTTTGTGCACCTAGTCAGGGAGGAAATGTCTCCATCCACTAATAAAGACAATATCCTTAATA